ACTTTACAGTTAACGTTGTATTTGAGGTTAAATAGCTTCTCTCTTTATCACTTTTAGCTTATGAAATGAGAGCTGACAGTTGCTTTTTGCCAGTTACTCTCATTAATTTTATAACACAGTAGCAATAAACAGTTGAGATTTAACGTCCCAAAACATATTTTGTACCATTTTACTGTACCGCATAACTGAGCTATAAGTTGGAACTGGTGTAGATCCTTGGCTTTCAGAAATAAAATTTGATAAATGGGGAATTGCAATTCCTGCAGGATCCTGCTTCATTTCTGTTTTGAAAGCCTATGGTAACTATTGGGCTAAGTATCATAAATAGATTTATATATATCACCGAACCAAAAATGCATGGATGAGATTTACATTTTATTTTTATGTTTGAGACTATTTAAGTTTGCACCAGTACAGAGTTTGCGCCAGAGTTAGCACCAGCGTCAGACTTTGATACGAATTTAATAAACATTTAGTTTGGGGGGGGGGGGGGGGGGGGGAGGAAGTTGACTGGACGATCAGGCCACTGCAGCTCGAGGAGCACATTCCTTTTAGTGCCATTCAAATTTCGACGAGGCCAGTACGACATTAATTTGAGATCTACAAAATTATGTTTCCTGATTATTGCCATCAAAAATTCGACGATAATTTTTCAAACAGGCAGGCTAAAAGGAGTGTAAACGACGGCTCAGAATCCCAACGGCTGAGACCAATAGCTCAATAGTACGTATTTATCTTTCACATAAACCTATATTCGTTGATTTAAGTTAAATACTATTGGATACGTGAGGGCACTCCGAATAGAATTGCTCACCTATAAAGGCCGTATAGAGGCCGTATAGAGGCCGTATAAAGGCCGTATAGTGGCCGTGTAGTGGCCGTATAGAGGCCGTATAAAGGCCATATAGAGGCCGTATAAAGGCCATATAGAGGCCGTATAAAGGCCATATAGAGGCCGTATAAAGGCCATATACTGCCCTATAGAGGCCAAACCTTATCGCCCAATTTCCCACGTTTCGATCACCATGGTAACGTGATGAGCTGACCAATGTACTACGGTACCATGGTGATTGTAAGACTACAGTCGCACAGTCTGTCTATGACTGTAGTCTTACAATTTGGAATGATCGTTTCGGGAGCATGGCTCTAGCATTACATGGTCCACACATGGTCCACACAATTCAAATTTAACCTCAATTTCCGAGCGTGCTAAATCACTCTACAGTCGATATTCGAGATTGTTCTAAAAAGGCCCCCGACAGTTGAAAACAACTTCAATCGATGTATTTTCGGACGCTGATTCCGAATCAGCCCCCTTGATATAGAGTTAAAATGCTCCCCTGACGAGATATTGGCGAAACACTGTCTCGATCACGTGATATGATTGTAAAGGAAGTTAGTCTAATTTATCGTCAGGTTTAGAGTTTCAGCATATGCTTTTGTTAAGGATTAGGTTAGGGTTAGGGTTGGGATCAGATTAGAGGGGTAGGGTTTTGAATAGTCGTTCGGGACCAGCTAGAGAACGGGTTGAAAAAGTCACGTGACAGTCGAGTGTAGAGTGATTAATCATCATCCCTCAATTTCAATGATGACGCAATTTCACTTTTACCAATTTCCCCATTATTTTCTGATTTTACTTTTTACCATTTCGGCAATTTGTTAAATTCACATAATTACCCCCACACAATTACAATCATCGCCGTCAGTACTTACTTAATACGTCAGTAATACAAACTCGATTTATTTATTTTTCTAAAACTAGCATTATATAACATTTCTAAATTATCCCTACACACTTGTAAATAATTAGAATTGTGTAACTTAAATTATTTCAGAATTACAACTATTGTGTACTCAATAAAGTAATTATCACTTTTGTATCCTTGTATCCTTGTATCCTTGTATCTTACTTACTTAGATTTATAAATTAACGTCACAGATTACATACGATTGTAGGGCTCATTGTTAAGAAAACTCCCTTTTCAATCGTCACACGTTGCATGACTTTGACGCATGTTGTGACAAAACGAAATGACCTGTTTTCTTCGTTAAGCATTGCCTGGCTCAACTCTGCTTAATGATCGTGCATCATGCAGATGTTTTAGCAGATGCCGGTTTTAATTTCTGATCAATCAATCAAAATGGCTTACTCACCGATCTGCTTGTCAACAGATTACGTTACTCCGCAAATTGCGCACTTCGGGGACTCTCAAAATGAGCCTAAATTCTTCAAATAATGAACAACTTTCATTTCCTTGGGAATCTCTTTCACACGACTTAAGCTGAACATCCTGAAAGTTCAATTCATTGAAAGCTCTTTATGTGTACTGTGTGTGCTGGCTCACTATATATTTATGTGTACTGAAAACCACGTGACTAGTTGTGTCACTAGTTGTGTTCGTGTTGCTTGTTGAGCTGTGTTAGTGCTAAGCTGTGCGCTAACTCGCGCTCTTTAACTAGACTTTTAGCTGTTGTTGTGTTGTGTTGGGGACTATGTCACTAGTTCACGTGAACGAAAGTACTTTTGGTTTCCAGTTTTTGTTTCAATCCCATAAATAGGGACATCTCATAGCTGAGTAATCTAAAGTAGTTTTCTCATAGTTTCTTCTTACTTTTAGCTGAGTAATCTAAAGTAGTTTTCTCATAGTTTCTTCTTACTCATAGCTGAGTAATCTAAAGTAGTTTTCTCATAGTTTCTGTTGTATCCCTTACATTTCCTCACAGTAACATCCCAACCGAGGTTGGCTACAACGTTTTTTCAAGTCAAGTTCTTAGATATGGTAATGTTTGCACTAGATTGGATATCTTTACCTCCCATCTTCACAAAATATTCAAAATTCTAATTGATAGAGGATATAGCCGTGATAGACTGATTAAAGGCATTAAACGTTGTCGGAGGAAATATGATAACGTTTTCAGGAAGTTCGGTATTCTAGATGACCGTAACATTATTAAAGAACTCCCCTGATATCTTTTGATTTATTGAAACACGGGTACTAACTCTGCTAAACTGAACAAATTCTGAAACTTAGGTGAATAAGTGTACAACGTGCTAAACCGAAGTTCAGACTGACCAGTGAAAATGGGCGAGGGTACCAAGTGTCATTTTAATTAGAAGTTTTAGTCAGTGATTTATTATTGAAGCTTGTAATTACAATTTCTAATGCTCCTATGAATACTTTAATTAATTGTTTGTCCCGTTATTCTTTTTCCTTCCTCTTTTCCTTGTCATCCCCTTTAGTTTTAAGATTCTTGCTATAAATGGCTACAGCTAACACTATTAATGCTAAGTACCAAACAACAAGTGGGAGGTGGATCGTTGGTACCATTAAATCGATTTAACACCGCAATTCCAGTCGCAAGCCTGGGACCACTACTAGCATAGTCACAACATCTACAAAGCTGCCATATAGCCTGACTGACAATTTTCTCGACTGACTGACAATGTTTCTTCTTTTTCCCCATTTAGAATACAAAGATTAGTACATTTTAGCTTATGATTAATATTATATTTTTACCTATAGTTTACCTAGATTCTTACTTTTAGCTGAGTAATCTAAAGTAGTTTTCTCATAGTTTCTTCTTACTTGTAGCTGAGTAATCTAAAGTAGTTTTATCTCATAGTTTCTTCTTACTTTTAGCTGAGTAATCTAAAGTAGTTTTATCATAGTTTCTTCTTACTTGTAGCTGAGTAATCTAAAGTAGTTGTATCTCATAGTTTCTTCTTACTTTTAGCTGAGTAATCTAAAGTAGTTTTATCTCATAGTTTCTTCTTACTTTTAGCTGAGTAATCTAAAGTAGTTTTATCTCATAGTTTCTTCTTACTTTTAGCTGAGTAATCTAAAGTAGTTTTATCTCATAGTTTCTTCTTACTTTTAGCTGAGTAATCTAAAGTAGTTTTATCATAGTTTCTTCTTACTTTTAGCTGAGTAATCTAAAGTAGTTTTATTTCATAGTTTCTTCTTACTTTTAACTGAGTAATCTAAAGTAGTTTTATCTCATAGTTTCTTCTTACTTTTAGCTGAGTAATCTAAAGTAGTTTTATCTCATAGTTTCTTCTTACTTTTAGCTGAGTAATCTAAAGTAGTTTTATCCCATAGTTTCTTCTTACTTTTAGCTGAGTAATCTAAAGTTGTTTTATCTCATAGTTTCTTCTTACTTTTAGCTGAGTAATCTAAAGTTGTTTTATCTCATAGTTTCTTCTTACTTTTAGCTGAGTAATCTAAAGTAGTTTTATCATAGTTTCTTCTTACTTTTAGCTGAGTAATCTAAAGTAGTTTTATCTCATAGTTTCTTCTTACTTTTAGCTGAGTAATCTAAAGTAGTTTTATCTCATAGTTTCTTCTTACTTTTAGCTGAGTAATCTAAAGTAGTTTTATCTCATAGTTTCTTCTTACTTTTAGCTGAGTAATCTAAAGTAGTTTTATCTCATAGTTTCTTCTTACTTTTAACTGAGTAATCTAAAGTAGTTTTATCTCATAGTTTCTTCTTACTTTTAGCTGAGTAATCTAAAGTAGTTTTATCTCATAGTTTCTTCTTACTTTTAGCTGAGTAATCTAAAGTAGTTTTCTCATAGTTTCTTCTTACTTGTAGCTGAGTAATCTAAAGTAGTTTTCTCATAGTTTCTTCTTACTTGTAGCTGAGTAATCTAAAGTAGTTTTCTCATAGTTTCTTCTTACTTGTAGCTGAGTAATCTAAAGTAGTTTTCTCATAGTTTCTTCTTACTTGTAGCTGAGTAATCTAAAGTAGTTTTCTCATAGTTTCTTCTTACTTTTAGCTGAATAATCTAAAAGTCTGAACGATGTCACTGCAGTGTAATTAAACAGCTACTTTTTATCGCTACTTGCACTACTCAATCATTAATTTCGTGTTTTTAACTAAAGCTTTCTTTATATCTCGCTTGATATCTAGTTTTATATTTGTTTTTTCTTCACTATTTAAGTATTTAGAGCTCAATACACTTGTTCATTTGTTATTGGTCATGACTAAACAATTCGCTGTATTTAGAGACCTGACTTGACACAAAAGGAAATGTTGTTGCGTCTTTCCCTTCTGGTGCTATGTATCGGGGGAGTTATAGCGAAACCTCACAGATCAGTCGGAATGAAAAACCTTATACTTCCCTCTGGGGAGAAGGATAGTAAGTACTTATCTGTTACATACATGTTACCATGACTGTTACATAGTACATACATGTTACATTTTATCTTACGACTTTATATATAAGCATACTTCTCCATGTACTCATGATATAACGAATTAACCCTCAGAACCGAACATGTTGTTCACGAAAGAACCCCGTCCCTCAACAATGACAACACTCGGTAGTTCAGTGACTCTCTCCTGTGCTGGAACTAGTAGTTTACCAACTGGGGAGCCAAGTGTTTCCTGGCTCTTTACTCCTAAAATAACTCCCGACATCAAGTTAGTACTCGATACTTTACTCCTAAAATAACTCCCGACATCAAGTTAGTACTCAATACTTCACTCCTAAAATAACTCCCGACATCAAGTTAGTACTCGATACTTCACTCCTAAAATAACTCCCGACATCAAGTTAGTACTCGATACTTCACTCCTAAAATAACTCCCGACATCAAGTTAGTACTCAATACTTCACTCCTAAAATAACTCCCGACATCAAGTTAGTACTCAATACTTCACTCCTAAAATAACTCCCGACATCAAGTTAGTACTCAATACTTCACTCCTAAAATAACTCCCGACATCAAGTTAGTACTCAATACTTCACTCCTAAAATAACTCCCGACATCAAGTTAGTACTCAATACTTCACTCCTAAAATAACTCCCGACATCAAGTTAGTACTCAATACTTCACTCCTATAATAACTCCCGACATCAAGTTAGTACTCAATACTTCACTCCTAAAATAACTCCCGACATCAAGTTAGTACTCATTACTTCACTCCTAAAATAACTCCCGACATCAAGTTAGTACTTAATACTTCACTCCTAAAATAACTCCCGACATCAAGTTAGTACTCAATACTTCACTCCTAAAATAACTCCCGACATCAAGTTAGCACTCAATACTTCACTCCTAAAATAACTCCCGACATCAAGTTAGTACTCAATACTTCACTCCTAAAATAACTCCCGACATCAAGTTAGTACTCAATACTTCACTCCTAAAATAACTCCCGACATCAAGTTAGTACTCAATACTTCACTCCTAAAATAACTCCCGACATCAAGTTAGTACTCAATACTTCACTCCTAAAATAACTCCCGACATCAAGTTAGTACTCAATACTTCACTCCTAAAATAACTCCCGACATCAAGTTAGTACTCAATACTTCACTCCTAAAATAACTCCCGACATCAAGTTAGTACTCAATACTTCACTCCTAAAATAACTCCCGACATCAAGTTAGTACTCAATACTTCACTCCTAAAATAACTCCCGACATCAAGTTAGTACTCAATACTTCACTCCTAAAATAACTCCCGACATCAAGTTAGTACTCAATACTTCACTCCTAAAATAACTCCCGACATCAAGTTAGTACTCAATACTTCACTCCTAAAATAACTCCCGACATCAAGTTAGTACTCAATACTTCACTCCTAAAATAACTCCCGACATCAAGTTAGTACTCAATACTTCACTCCTAAAATAACTCCCGACATCAAGTTAGTACTCAATACTTCACTCCTAAAATAACTCCCGACATCAAGTTAGTACTCAATACTTCACTCCTAAAATAACTCCCGACATCAAGTTAGTACTCAATACTTCACTCCTAAAATAACTCCCGACATCAAGTTAGTACTCAATACTTCACTCCTAAAATAACTCCCGACATCAAGTTAGTACTCAATACTTCACTCCTAAAATAACTCCCGACATCAAGTTAGTACTCAATACTTCACTCCTAAAATAACTCCCGACATCAAGTTAGTACTCAATACTTCACTCCTAAAATAACTCCCGACATCAAGTTAGTACTCAATACTTCACTCCTAAAATAACTCCCGACATCAAGTTAGTACTCAATACTTCACTCCTAAAATAACTCCCGACATCAAGTTAGTACTCAATACTTCACTCCTAAAATAACTCCCGACATCAAGTTAGTACTCAATACTTCACTCCTAAAATAACTCCCGACATCAAGTTAGTACTCAATACTTCACTCCTAAAATAACTCCCGACATCAAGTTAGTACTCAATACTTCACTCCTAAAATAACTCCCGACATCAAGTTAGTACTCAATACTTCACTCCTAAAATAACTCCCGACATCAAGTTAGTACTCAATACTTCACTCCTAAAATAACTCCCGACATCAAGTTAGTACTCAATACTTCACTCCTAAAATAACTCCCGACATCAAGTTAGTACTCAATACTTCACTCCTAAAATAACTCCCGACATCAAGTTAGTACTCAATACTTCACTCCTAAAATAACTCCCGACATCAAGTTAGTACTCAATACTTCACTCCTAAAATAACTCCCGACATCAAGTTAGTACTCAATACTTCACTCCTAAAATAACTCCCGACATCAAGTTAGTACTCAATACTTCACTCCTAAAATAACTCCCGACATCAAGTTAGTACTCAATACTTCACTCCTAAAATAACTCCCGACATCAAGTTAGTACTCAATACTTCACTCCTAAAATAACTCCCGACATCAAGTTAGTACTCAATACTTCACTCCTAAAATAACTCCCGACATCAAGTTAGTACTCAATACTTCACTCCTAAAATAACTCCCGACATCAAGTTAGTACTCAATACTTCACTCCTAAAATAACTCCCGACATCAAGTTAGTACTCAATACTTCACTCCTAAAATAACTCCCGACATCAAGTTAGTACTCAATACTTCACTCCTAAAATAACTCCCGACATCAAGTTAGTACTCAATACTTCACTCCTAAAATAACTCCCGACATCAAGTTAGTACTCAATACTTCACTCCTAAAATAACTCCCGACATCAAGTTAGTACTCAATACTTCACTCCTAAAATAACTCCCGACATCAAGTTAGTACTCAATACTTCACTCCTAAAATAACTCCCGACATCAAGTTAGTACTCAATACTTCACTCCTAAAATAACTCCCGACATCAAGTTAGTACTCAATACTTCACTCCTAAAATAACTCCCGACATCAAGTTAGTACTCAATACTTCACTCCTAAAATAACTCCCGACATCAAGTTAGTACTCAATACTTCACTCCTAAAATAACTCCCGACATCAAGTTAGTACTCAATACTTCACTCCTAAAATAACTCCCGACATCAAGTTAGTACTCAATACTTCACTCCTAAAATAACTCCCGACATCAAGTTAGTACTCAATACTTCACTCCTAAAATAACTCCCGACATCAAGTTAGTACTCAATACTTCACTCCTAAAATAACTCCCGACATCAAGTTAGTACTCAATACTTCACTCCTAAAATAACTCCCGACATCAAGTTAGTACTCAATACTTCACTCCTAAAATAACTCCCGACATCAAGTTAGTACTCAATACTTCACTCCTAAAATAACTCCCGACATCAAGTTAGTACTCAATACTTCACTCCTAAAATAACTCCCGACATCAAGTTAGTACTCAATACTTCACTCCTAAAATAACTCCCGACATCAAGTTAGTACTCAATACTTCACTCCTAAAATACCTCCCGACATCAAGTTAGTACTCAATACTTCACTCCTAAAATAACTCCCGACATCAAGTTAGTACTCAATACTTCACTCCTAAAATAACTCCCGACATCAAGTTAGCACTCAATACTTCACTCCTATAATAACTCCCGACATCAAGTTAGCACTCAATACTTCACTCCTAAAATAACTCCCGACATCAAGTTAGCACTCAATACTTCACTCCTAAAATAACTCCCGAAATCAAGTTAGTACTCAATAGTCAATACCTCATGAGATTTGAACTATGACAAGAAAATGCGCCCTGGATTGAGTCTGCTGATACCTGGTTACCTGGTTACCTGGTTACCTGGTTACCTGGTTACCTGGTTACCTGGTTACCTGGTTACCTGGTTACCTGGTTACCTGGTTACCTGGTTACCTGGTTACCTGGTTACCTGGTTACCTGGTTACCTGGTTACCTGGTTACCTGGTTACCTGGTTACCTGGTTACCTGGTTACCTGGTTACCTGGTTACCTGGTTACCTGGTTACCTGGTTACCTGGTTACCTGGTTACCTGGTTACCTGGTTACCTGGTTACCTGGTTACCTGGTTACCTGGTTACCTGGTTACCTGGTTACCTGGTTACCTGGTTACCTGGTTACCTGGTTACCTGGTTACCTGGTTACCTGGTTACCTGGTTACCTGGTTACCTGGTTACCTGGTTACCTGGTTACCTGGTTACCTGGTTACAAGGTTACCTGGTTACCTGGTTACCTGGTTACCTGGATACAAGGTTACCTGGTTACCTGGTTACCTGGTTACCTGGTTACCTGGTTACCTGGTTACCTGGTTACCTGGTTACCTGGTTACCTGGTTACCTGGTTACCTGGTTACCTGGTTACCTGGTTACCTGGTTACCTGGTTACCTGGTTACCAGGTTACCAGGTTACCAGGTTACCAGGTTACCAGGTTACCTGGTTACATGGTTACCTGGTTACCTGGTTACCTGGTTACCAGGTTACCTGGTTACCTGGTTACCTGGTTACCAGGTTACCTGGTTACCAGGTTACCTGGTTACCTGGTTACCTGGTTACCTGCTTACCTGGTTACCTGCTTACCTGGTTACCTGGTTACCTGGTTACCTGGTTACCAGGTTACCAGGTTACCTGGTTACCTGGTTACCTGGTTACCAGGTTACCTGGTTACCTGGTTACCTGGTTACCTGGTTACCTGGTTACCTGGTTACCTGGTTACCTGGTTACCTGGTTACCTGGTTACCAGGTTACCAGGTTACCAGGTTACCAGGTTACCTGGTTACATGGTTACCTGGTTACCTGGTTACCAGGTTACCTGGTTACCTGGTTACCAGGTTACCTGGTTACCTGGTTACCTGGTTACCAGGTTACCTGGTTACCAGGTTACCTGGTTACCTGGTTACCTGGTTACCAGGTTACCTGGTTACCAGGTTACCTGGTTACCTGGTTACCTGGTTACCTGGTTACCTGGTTACCTGGTTACCTGGTTACCAGGTTACCAGGTTACCTGGTTACCTGGTTACCTGGTTACCTGGTTACCAGGTTACCTGGTTACCAGGTTACCTGGTTACCTGGTTACCTGGTTACCAGGTTACCTGGTTACCTGGTTACCTGGTTACCTGGTTACCTGGTTACCTGGTTACCTGGTTACCTGGTTACCTGGTTACCCGGTTACCCGGTTACCTGGTTACCTGGTTACCTGGTAACCAGGTATTCTGTAGCCATCAGAGGAATATTTGTAAACTTCCTCTCAGATTGTGGGAGGGACTAGTAGGAGGGACTAGTGGGACACTGATTCTTGTAGTGTAACTATGGTAACTAGTTGTGTAATATTTATAAACTTCCCCTCAGATTGTGGGAGGGACTAGTAGGAGGGACCAGTGGGACACTGATTCTTGGTAACTTGCAGAAGAGCGAGGGAGGATATTACTTCTGTCAGATAACTGACGGTTACGGTTACAGCTTGATCAGCCGCGGAGCTCTTGTTATTGTCACTTGTTAGTGCTTATATATTTATAATATAACAACGTATGGTATATAAATTATGTTGTTAGTGCTTTTCTGGATGACTTTTTAAACAAATATAATTATTGATGAAAGGATATGTCATTTATTTTACACTATTCCTTTCTCGAGTCAATATTAGAAAAACAGCTCGCAACAATTTATCATTATCTATCATCACATCATTAACAGCTATATTTGAGATTTCGTAACTGCAGATTTGGATCCTGATTTTGGTGCGTATCCAGAAGAAAAGACCATCACAGAATCAAAAGCTTACATCAAGGTTCCGTGTCAGCCGCCAGCAAGTAATCCGCCTGCAAAGATAAATTGGTATAAAGACGGAAAACTTATTGAGGTTAGTAACCAATAGTAACCAATAGTAACCAATAGTAACCAATAGTAACCAATAGTAACCAAGAGTAATCAATAGTAACCAATAGTAACCAATAGTAACGAATAATAACCAATAGTAACCAATAGTAACCAATAGTAACATATAGTAACCAATAGTAACCAATAGAAACCAATAGTAACCAATAGTAACCAATCGTAACCAAAAGTAACAAATAGTAACCAATAGTAACCAATAGTAACCAAATACTTTGAAGAGTTATAATTTGATTATAAATCGGGGATAATGGGTTTTAGATAGGTTTTGATGTCATAAATAAACACCCTTCAAAAAGTTGACAACATATTACCCCTCATTCAGAAAGTTGACACCTTATTACCCCTCATTCCAGAAAGTTGACACCTTATTACCCCTCATTTCAGAAAGTTTACACCTTTTTAGTTTTTACCCCTCATTCAGAAAGTTGACACCCTATTTACCCCTCATTTCAGAAAGTTGACACCTTATTACCCCTCATTCCAGAAAGTTGAGAATATGATACAAGAGTACGTGAGTCCCAACAAGTACGGTTCCCTGATAATCTTCAACCCGAGAACTAGTGACAGTGGTATGTACGCTTGTGAGGCCAGCAACATTAACGCTAACCCTGAAAAGAGGAAAACTAGCGAAGTTCTCATCGATATTAAAGGTAAAGCTCAAATTTTAATATGAGTTAAGTGATCATCAACATTGACGTTATTTAAGTCACTATTAGTATTAACAACTCAGTTCTCTCACACGTAATCCTCTCAGTTCTCTCACACGTATTCCTTTCAGTTCTCTCACACGTATTCTCTCAGTTCTCTCACACGTATTCCTCTCAGTTCTCTCACACGTATTCCTTTCAGTTCTCTCACACGTATTCCCCTCAGTTCTATCACACGTATTCGCCTCAGTTCTATCACACATATTCCTCTCAGTTCTCTCACACGTATTCCTCTCAGTTCTCTCACACGTATTCCTTTCAGTTCTCTCACACGTATTCCTTTCAGTTCTCTCACACGTATTCTCTCAGTTCTCTCACACGTATTCCTTTCAGTTCTCTCACACGTATTCCTTTCAGTTCTCTCACACGTATTCCTTTCAGTTCTCTCACACGTATTCCTCTCAGTTCTCTCACACATATTCCTCTCAGTTCTCTCACACGTATTCCTCTCAGTTCTCTCACACGTATTCCCCTCAGTTCTATCACACGTATTCGCCTCAGTTCTCTCACACGTATTCCTCTCAGTTCTCTCACACGTATTCCTCCCAGTTCTCTCACACGTATTCCTTTCAGTTCTCTCACACGTATTCCTCTCAGTTCTCTCACACGTATTCTCTCAGTTCTCTCACACGTATTCCTCTCAGTTCTCTCACACGTATTCCTTTCAGTTCTCTCACACGTATTCTCTCAGTTCTCTCACACGTATTCTCTCAGTTCTCTCACACGCATTCCTCTCAGTTCTCTCACACGTATTCCTCTCAGTTCTCTCACACGAATTCCCCTCAGTTCTCTCACATGTATTCCTCTCAGTTCTCTCACACGTATTCCTCTCAGTTCTCTCACACGTATTCCTCTCAGTTCACTCACACGTATTCCTCTCAGTTCTCTCACACGTATTCTCTCAGTTCTCTCACACGTATTCCTCTCAGTTCTAATACACGTATTCCTCTCAGTTCTATCACACGTATTACTCTCATTTCTCTCACACGTATTCCTCCCAGTTCTCTCACACGTATTCCTCTCAGTTCTCTCACACGTATTCCTCTCAGGTCTCTCACACGTATTCCTCTCAGTTCTCTCACATGTATTCCTCTCGGTTCTCTCACACATATTCTTTCAGTTCTCTCACACGTATTCCTCTCAGTTCTCTCACATGTATTCCTCTCAGTTCTCTCACACGTATTCGCTCCGTTCTCTCACACGTATTCTCTCAGTTCTCTCACACGTATTCCTCTCAGTTCTCTCACACGTATTCCTCTCAGTTCTCTCACACGTATTCTCTCAGTTCTCTCACACGTATTCCTCTCAGTTCTCTCACACGTATTCCTCTCAGTTCTCTCACACGTATTCCTCTCAGTTCTCCCACACGTATTCCTCTCATTTCTCTCACACGTATTCTCTCAGTTCTCTTACACGTATTCTCTCAGTTCTCTTACACGTATTCTCTCAGTTCTCTTACACGTATTCTCTCAGTTCTCTCACACGTATTCCTCTCAGGTCTCTCACACGTATTCCTCTCAGTTCTCTCACACGTATTCTCTCAGTTCTCTCACACGTATTCCTCTCAGTTCTCTCACACGTATTCCTCTCAGTTATCTCACACGTATTCTCTCAGTTCTCTCACACGTATTCCTCTCAGTTCTCTCACACGTATTCCTCTCAGTTCTCTCACACGTATTCTCTCAGTTCTATCACACGTATTCCTCTCAGTTCTCTCACATGTATTCCTCTCGGTTCTCTCACACATATTCTTTCAGTTCTCTCACACGTATTCCTCTCAGTTCTCTCACATGTATTCCTCTCAGTTCTCTCACACGTATTCCTCTCAGTTCTCTCACACGTATTCTCTCAGTTCTCTCACACGTATTCCTCTCAGTTCTCTCACACGTATTCCTCTCAGTTCTCTCACACGTATTCCTCTCAGGTCTCTCACACGTATTCCTCTCAGTTCTCTCACATGTATTCCTCTCGGTTCTCTCACACATATTCTTTCAGTTCTCTCACACGTATTCCTCTCAGTTCTCTCACATGTATTCCTCTCAGTTCTCTCACACGTATTCCTCTCAGTTCTCTCACACGTATTCTCTCAGTGCTCTCACACGTATTCCTCTCAGTTCTCTCACACGTATTCCTCTCAGTTCTCTCACACGTATTCCTCTCAGTTCTCCCACACGTATTCCTCTCATTTCTCTCACACGTATTCTCTCAGTTCTCTTACACGTATTCTCTCAGTTCTCTTACACGTATTCTCTCAGTTCTCTTACACGTATTCTCTCAGTTCTCTCACACGTATTCCTCTCAGTTCTCTCACACGTATTCGCTCCGTTCTCTCACACGTATTCTCTCAGTTCTCTCACATGTATTCCTCTCAGTTCTCTCACACGTATTCCTCTCAGTTTTCTCACACGTATTCTCTCAGTTCTCTCACACGTATTCCTCTCAGTTTTCTCACACGTGTTCTCTCAGTTGAAGGCTCGGGAACGTACGCTCAGAAGTTTGTACAGGATCACGATGTACTCGTTAACAAAGGAGAAGACGCGGTACTCCACGCCGGAGCTATTGGTTTCCCAGTGCCTAGCTACCGCTGGACTCTCGGCGTGTCTGTAGAAATAGATGTCAATCCTGGTAGCCGCTTTTCTACTGCTGACTTCGGGAGAGATCTTAGAATATCGTAAGTGTAGTTCTTAGTAAGTGTGGAAATAGTATTTGAAACGCTCTAATTAGTGCTATTCTAGTGCTACATTAGAATTTGACAAAATTTTATTTCTGTTAAATTTGAGGGGCCTCCAAAGTCCAGGAATGTCTGAAGCTAGTATAAGGAATGTTTGAGGTAGAAGTACTGTTGTAGCACTATCACCTACTATTAGATGGCTGACTAACTATAATTACCACCCAGGGGTGTTCGCACTGAGGACCGGGGCACGTACTGGTGTCAGTACAAGAACGTGTACACGGACAGTGTCGCTGTAGTCAGACTCTACGTCAAGGGTTAGAAACTACTTTATTTATAATCTACGTCAAGGGTTAGGAACTGCATTATTTATAAGTTACGTCAAGGGTTAGAAACTGTATTATTTATAATCTACGTCAAGGGTTAGAAACTGTATTAATTATAAGTTACGTCAAGGGTTAGAAACTGTATTATTTATAATCTACGTCAAGGGTTAGAAACTGTATTAATTATAATCTACGTCAAGGGTTAGAAACTGTATTATTTATAAGTTACGTCAAGGGTTAGAAACTGTATTATTTATAATCTACGTCAAGGGTTAGAAACTGCATTATTTATAAGTTACGTCAAGGGTTAGAAACTGTATTATTTATAATCTACGTCAAGGGTTAGAAACTGTATTATTTATAATCTACGTCAAGGGTTAGAAACTGCATTATTTATAAGTTACGTCAAGGGTTAGGAACTGCATTATTTATAAGTTACGTCAAGGGTTAGAAACTGTATTATTTATAATCTACGTCAAGGGTTAGAAACTGCATTATTTATAAGTTACGTCAAGGGTTAGAAACTGTATTATTTATAATCTACGTCAAGGGTTAGAAACTGTATTATTTATAATCTACGTCAAGGGTTAGAAACTGCATTATTTATAAGTTACGTCAAGGGTTAGAAACTGTATTATTTATAAGCTACGTCAAGGGTTAGAAACTGCATTATTTATAAGTTACGTCAAGGGTTAGAAACTGTATTATTTATAAGTTACGTCAAGGGTTAGAAACTGTATTATTTATAATCTACGTCAAGGGTTAGAAACTGTATTATTTATAAGTTACGTCAAGGGTTAGAAACTGCATTATTTCTAAGTTACCGGTTACGTCAAGGGTTAGAAACTGCATTATTTTTAAGTTACGTCAAGGGTTAGAAACTGCATTATTTCTAAGTTACAAACCAAACAAATATCACCAGGCTTTCTTGCATGACTGCAGGCCGCAGGGCGCAAAACAGAGTGATATATTTCACCTAATACACCCCCACTCTCAGAGGACATTTCGTTCAACACAGTGTTGACAGAGCAGACAGTGGAGCACCTTACTCCGCTGACATTCGACTGTCAGTGTTCAGGGACCCCCTACACCAGCGGGGACCCTACTGCCCCTCCTTCTGTACTCTGGCTCAGAGACGGGCAACCTATTGTAGATGGCAAGAGGTTCAAGGTTCGTGTGCTTTTTGTAAAACTTTTGTTAGTAAGAATGTATGATCTGTTGTAACTTTTGTTAAGTTTCATGTGGTGGTCTCTGTGTTACAGTTTGTAAAATAGTACATTAAAGTTTAATGTTAAGTAAGATAAACAACACAAGAAAGTGCAGAACCTGGTCACCTGGTCACCTGGTTACCTGGTTACCTGGTTACCTGGTCACCTGGTTACCTGGTCACCTGGTTACCTGGTCACCTGGTTACCTGGTCACCTGGTTACCTGGTCACCTGGTTACCTGGTCACCTGGTTACCTGGTCACCTGGTTACCTATTTACCTGGTTATCTGGTTACCTGGTCACCTTGTTACCTGGTCACCTTGTTACCTGGTCACCTGGTCACCTTGTCACCTGGTTACCTGGTTACCAGGTTACCTGGTTACCCCGTTACCTGGTTACCTGGTTACCTGGTTACCTGGTTACCCGGTTACCTGGTTACCTGGTTACCTGGTTACCTGGTTATCTGGTTACTTAGTTACGTTAACCTCAGGAGGAGGACGGTAGTCTGGTTATGTCCGGACTGGAAATGTCGGAGGCTGGGATGTACCAGTGTTTCTGCTACAACACCATGCAGATATCACAAACTTACATGCCTGTTTCTGTTAAAAGTAAGTTTCTAAGGTTCATTACTCAACATTCAACAGTTGCTGTAAGAGTAAGACCTTTTTTACTTTCATTTTCCGATGAATAAGAGAATAAGGGTAGGAAAAATATAAGTTTAAACTTTTCATGTTCAGCTCACGAAGTAAATTTAGCCTAACCCTCCCTGTAATATGACCCACACTTTCGTCCAGATATGACGATCCCAGTAAGTATTACCTGGTTACCTGGTTACCTGGTTACCTGGTTACCTGGTTACCTGGTTACCTGGTTACCTAACTCATGACCCACACTCTCGTCCAGATATGACGATCCCAGTAAGTATTGACGGTAACGACAGAGCAGAGGGAGTGTACAACGAGAATATTCAGATATTGTGTCGGGCTAACGGATACCCGCTTCCTGTGGTCACGTGGTACAAAGATAACGAGGAGATCACTGCTGTATTTGATCCTAGGTGAGTCAGCTGAGTATTCTATCCTAGGTCAGTCAGCTGAGTATTCTATCCTAGGTGAGTCAGCTGAGTATTCTATCCTAGGTCAGTCAGCTGAGTATTCTATCCTAGGTCAGTCAGCTGAGTATTCTATCCTAGGTCAGTCAGCTGAGTATTCTATCCTAGGTCAGTCAGCTGAGTATTCTATCCTAGGTCAGTGAACTAGCTGAGTATTCTATCCTAGGTCAGTCAGCTGAGTATTCTATCCTAGGTCAGTCAGCTGAGTATTCTATCCTAGGTCAGTGAACTAACTGAGTATTCTATCCTAGGTCAGTCAGCTGAGTATTCTATCCTAGGTCAGTGAAATAGCTGAGTATTCGATCCTAGGTCAGTGAAATAGCTGAGTATTCTATCCTAGGTCAGTGAAATAGCTGAGTATTCTATCCTAGGTCAGTGAAATAGCTGAGTATTCGATCCTAGGTCAGTCAGCTGAGTATTCTATCCTAGGTAAGTCAACTGAGTATTCTATCCTAGGTAAGTCAGCTGAGTATTCTATCCTAGGTCAGTGAACTAGCTGAGTATTCTATCCTAGGTCAGTCAGCTGAGTATTCTATCCTAGGTCAGTGAAATAGCTGAGTATTCTATCCTAGGTCAGTGAAATAGCTGAGTATTCGATCCTAGGTCAGTCAGCTGAGTATTCTATCCTAGGTCAGTCAGCTGAGTATTCTATCCTAGGTCAGTCAGCTGAGTATTCTATCCTAGGTAAGTCAGCTGAGTATTCTATCCTAGGTCAGTGAAATAGCTGAGTATTCTATCCTAGGTCAGTCAGCTGAGTATTCTATCCTAGGTCAGTCAGCTGAGTATTCTATCCTAGGTCAGTGAAATAGCTTAGTATTCTATCCTAGGTCAGTGAAATAGCTGAGTATTCTATCTTAGGTCAGTGAAATAGCTGATTATTCTATCCTAGGTCAGTGAAATAGCTGTCTAAGTATTCATTAGACGTACACTTCTAGATTTATATCATAATAATCTAAAGACTGTGATTTATATTTCCCCTCGGTTATAAGACTCCAAAACAGACGTTTTAAAGTTTTAATAGTAACAATGCTGTTAGTTACCATGGTTACCATAGTTATCCAACAATGCTTCTACAGGTACTCGATAACGCAAGAGAACTTCAAAGATCACGTTCTCTCTAATCTGAGAGTGCTGTCTGTAAAGGATGCTGATGCTGGAATATTAACTTGTAGAGCAGTTAACCAGAAAGTTTCTACTTTTGCTGCTGAACTTAAGATTGATTTTCTTGTTGGTAAGATCCACTTTTCTCACAAATATAGCAAAGTTATTTGTTTTATAATGTCTGTATTGGTTGTAAGAGTGATGCTATTGACTCTACCCCCTCAGGTCACGAGATATCTCCCAGTATCTCCCTCTCTGATATCAGTATACAGGTTACCAGGTTACCAGGTAACCAGGTTACCAGGTTACCAGGTTACCAGGTGATGCTATTGATTCTGTTAACAGCTCTGTCCCCCCTCAGGTCACGAGATATCTCCCAGCATCTCCCTCTCTGATATTAGTATACAGGTTACCAGGTTGCCAGGTAACCAGGTTACCAGGTAACCAGGTTACCAGGTTACCAGGTTACCAGGTGATGCTATTGATTCTGTTAACAGCTCTGTCCCCCCTCAGGTCACGAGATATCTCCCAGCATCTCCCTCTCTGATATTAGTATACAGGTTACCAGGTTACCAGGTAACCAGGTTACCAGGTAACCAGGTTACTAGGTAACCAGGTTACCAGGTTACCAGGTTACCAGGTGATGCTATTGATTCTGTTAACAGCTCTGTCCCCCCTCAGGTCACGAGATATCTCCCAGCATCTCCCTCTCTGATATCAGTATACAGGTTACCAGGTTACCAGGTAACCAGGTTACCAGGTAACCAGGTTACCAGGTAACCAGGTTACCAGGTGATGCTATTGATTCTGTTAACAGCTCTGTCCCCCCTCAGGTCACGAGATATCTCCCAGCATCTCCCTCTCTGATATTAGTATCCAGGTGGACTCGTCCATCGTGTTTGAAGCGGTTGCCTATGGTTACCCAACACCAGCTGTCACGTGGTACAAGGGAGCAGACAGAGTTCCTCTATTAACTGGAGGGAGGTACACTGTAGCTGAGTCCTCTCTCCTCATAGACGGGGCTCAGAGCTCCGACACTGGTCTATACGTGGTAAAGGCTAACAACGGGGTCGGGGCACCCGCCTACGCCAACGCTACCATATCTCTAGGTTTGTTTTCAGTGCTGTTATCCACCATCTTTTAGTACGTTAGTAACTTTAGTAACTTTAGTAACTTCAGCAACTTTAGTAACTTCAGTAACTTTAGTAACTTCAGTAACTTCAGTAATTTTAGTAACTTTAGTAACTTTAGTAATTTTAGTAACTTTAGTAACTTTAGTAACTTTAGTAAATTTAGTAACTTTAGTAACTTTAGTAACTTTAGTAACTTTAGTAACTTTAGTAACTTTAGTAACTTTAGTAACTTAAGTAACTTTAGTAACTTAAGTTACTTTAATAACTTCATTAACTTCAGTAACTTTATTAACTTAAGTAACTTTAGTGCTCATCAATTGTTGTAAAGTGAAGCAAATTGTTGTGACGTATTGTGATCGTGGTGTGATCATCTGAGAGTGTGTTAGTTAGTGTTAGTTACGTTGTGAGGTGTAATATGTTTAACACTGTGTTTGAAGTGAAGTGTTAGTTACGTTTTGAGGTGTAACATGTTTAACGCTGTGTTTGAAGTGAAGTGTTAGTTACGTTGTGAAATGTAACATGTGTAACACTTGTTTGCAGTGAAGTGTTAGTTACGTTGTGAGGTGTAACACGTTTAACACTGTGTTTGAGGTGAAGTGTTAGTTACGTTGAAAAGTGTAATATGTTTAACACTTGTTTGCAGCATTCCCAACAGACGAGGAACCAGTTATCAGTTACGATGACACCACTGATTACTATGACCCAGCTGATTACTTTACTATTACCGCCAGTAGTAACTCCAGTTAGTAACCATAGTAACCGTACCTTCATGTTACTTTACTATTACCGCCAGTAGTAACTCCAGTTAGTAACCATAGTAACCGTACCTTCATGTTAAGGAGCTACTCTTATCTTCTCATGTTAAGGAGTTGTTTCTACAGCGACTAATTAAGGGTCTAACTAACTGCCCACTTATTTCTTATCTTCAAATGTTACTTGATAGCTGGTGATCACTAAATGTTACTTTAACTTATTGAATGTATTTGATAACTGGTGATCTTTATGCAATAACTGATCACTCAGTGGCGTAACGTTACGCCACTGTGATCACTAAATAGTAAAATACTTACATAAGATCCCAACTCCCACTTTCGCTTCATTTTACCATCTCCTATTTTTCAATGTATTTTAATGGCACCACTTAGTAAAGTTCTACAATCTGATAAAACTAAAATCTGGTGGTGCCGTTAGGTAAATTGTTGAGAATGTAACCATACATGTAACCATAGTAACCCTACATTTATTTGTACGTTAAATGGAGTCTTGCTCCGTGAAAATGGTTTCAATGTTACTGGTCGATGTGACCTACCTATGTGGTATCTTTCTGTTCACGTCTGAATAGTCTACTAAATGTTTATGTCATGAAATGTTGATAAATATCGTGATTTTAAAATATGAAATTTCTCGTCGATTTATTAACCGTTGATCATTAAGTTGCAATTTATAAAATTAAAATGGGTATTGCCAGGTTTGTAACCATAGCACCCATATTCCCAGGTTTGTAACCATAGCAACCATATTGCCAGGTTTGTAACCATAGCACCCATATTGCCAGGTGTGAACAACGCCATGATATACGGTTCAGCGAGCGGGGGAGTCGCTCTGATCCTGATAATAGCTATTTTGGTTCTCCTGTACGTTCTAATAAAGCAGAAAGAGAAGAAAAACTACGTCCCTCCCAAGGGTTAGCTTTAAGACATTTTGTTTCAGTTTTCTCAGATTTGATCACTTAGGACTGTTCATTTGAGCGGCCAGTGTGTTAGCTTGGTTTTCAATCAATGTAAATACTTAAATAATCTAAATTTATTTCGTGTTCGAAAAAGCATGTGAGTGAAGCGTTCATTTTGCATCACAATGTTAGCATGTGTCACGATGACCAGGCGTGTCAACACGTATAACATGTTCATTTGCTAGTGCATGACACATATCACTGCTGTGAGACGTGTGTTCCGTTTAAATGTTTAAATTAGCGTCATTATTGAATAAACGCGTTCAGTAACCGTGTTAGCATGTGTTAGCATGTGTTAGCATGTGTTAGCACGTGTTAGCATGTGTTAGCATGTGTTAGCATGTGTTAGCATGTGTTAGCATGTGTTAGCATGTGTTAGAATGTGTTAGCATGTGTTAGCATGTGTTAGCATGTGTTAGCATGTGTTAGCAGCTGTGAGCATGACCTCACAAGCCCCTTCTAGCAGGACTCCTGAAGGTACCTGTATACAGGACAAGGTCCGGACGTTGGACTCACAACCTAGCTACGTGAAACCATCCCGGTCTGAACCCTGGAGACGGCTGAGTCGTCTTAATCCCCGGTCAGCTATTGTAGCTTTCTATAACGGCTGGAAGAAGAAACAGGAAAAAGTTCCAGAAACTTCGGACGAGATTTTAAATGATCTGAATTTAACTCTAGCTGTAAATTCCTGTGAAGTTGTCGATACGTTGCCAGGAAACACGTTGCTAAGCAACACGTTGCCTGCTTTGAATTGTGAATATGACCAGACGATGAACAGTTTCATGAGATTCCAGCATTCCACACAGAGTGGTAGGACACAGAACACTTCAACAAGAGGAACTAATTGTAATCAGTCTATAAACAGGAACTCGTATCACAAAGGCTTCATCGCTGATCCTTCCAGACATAACAAGAAAGAGAAATCATCTCAGACTGAACCAGTCCTTATCAAACCTATTCGACCTATTCCTTTCAAGTGTGATAAAAGCAGGGGTGTAGGAAGCGGGGGGGCACCCCTGGATAAAAGCACCTCTACACGAAGAAACAACTTTCCAATAGATAGCCAAACGTTGCTAAGCAACACGTTTCCAATAAATAGCAACTCCTCCTCCCCGGCCTCCTGTCGCATGTATAAAATGTTAACCCGTAAAAAACACAGATCATTTTCCCACAAGTTTGTTCCGAGCACTAATAGTGAAATATTGCATGGTTATTTATTTTGTGGGTCGTACAAGCCTAGAAAGTTTGAAAGCTTGGGTAATTTAAGCTTTATTGACAATGTTACTGTTCCAGCCGCCCCAACGCCAACCGAGAAGGAAATCGAACGAAGGTAGGAAAATATATTCTTATATTTGAGACACAGGTTTGGTTTATATTTTAAAGCATTCATACTACTACTTCTACTACTACTACTTCATTCATACTACTACTACATTCATACTACTACTACTACATTCATACTACTACATTCATACTACTGCTAATTCATTTGTACTACTACTACTACATTAATATTACTACTACATTCATACAGCTACTACTTCTTCATTCATACTACTACTACTACATTTATACTACTATTACTACTTCATTTATACTACAGATTTCAGAGAAAGATGCCCGAATACCATGCTTGCTTGTTGCCTATCATCTGAATTAAGCTTGACAGTCTATGATAGGCGTGGTATTTCATCATCATAAGAGCATAAGTTACCAGCGGGTCACTTTATCAGTAACCTCATTCCAGAATCCGTATGGCCAGCGAAACACCGCCTATTGGTTTCAACCCTAAACCAGATCTAGACGACAAAACCAAGAACTCCCTTTACTTGAGAGACAATCCCGCTCTGTTCGATGTGAACGTTACTTCAAAGAACTTGCCCCCACTACTCAGAGCTCCTATGGGTAAATCATCTTAACAAGTAGTTACCTGGTTACCTGGTTACCTGGTTACCTGGTTACCTGGTTACCTGGTTACCTGGTTACCTGGTTACCTGGTTACCTGGTTACCTGGTCAACTACAACAAGTAGTTACCTGCTTTTATTTGACGTTGGAGAATTTTCAGAGACAGTCGGCCAAGTAGCGCGAAAAGCAAGACATCAGGCGCAGATAAGAAACCTAAGACAGTAGAAAATGATGTGACTATGATCATTAATGATGTCAGTGACGGAGGTACAAATAGCTCACAAATTCTTGTTCTATAGCATTACCATAGTAGCCACATTACACTAAAACTCTTGCAGTCAGTCTTAGTGTTTGTCTGAAATTACCTTTACTTGCATGTACACAGTGAAACATCTTCTGTAGCTAATCTAATAGCTCTCTAATTAATCTAATAGTTTTTCCTGAACCCAGGATCCTATAATAAAGGAAAAAAAGCTGTGGGTAACTGGTCTTACCGGTAAAACCTTTGTAAATAATCTAACATTTCTTGGGCAACTTTCTTATGATCCTCTTACTTTTGCTCACAAAACTAAATGATCTAAAGCTAAGCAAGCAGCTCCACTAGAGTTCGATAATGATATGCCCAACGGTAACCATGGTAACAATGACATGGTGATGCAAGGACCGGGGATGGTAATGGAGCAACCTGTGCCGGCCACATTTCTCTCTGATTTACCAAGTAGGCCCACGGAAAATAGCGCGGACATGCCCGGAGTAGTAGTTGAGCAACCTGTTCCCGTCACTTTGTTCCCTAACATGCCACGTAAGTAGTTTAACTCACCAACCTAGGACTCGTACATCTCAGTATTAAATTACTAAGTTATTAGACTTGTCCTCAAACTAATATCTGCTAAAATCTGAAACAGAGCTATTTGTACCTCCCAGTACAGTACCATGGTAACTATACCTGGTTACCGTGGTAACTGTACCTGGTTACCGTGGTAACTGTACCTGGTTACCGTGGTAACTGTACGTTAAAGACATGTTCTAAAACTCCGTTTTAAAACTGGATCCTCGCAGGTGAACCAGACAGTTCTCCTAGTTCCACCTCCCCTTCAGAAGACGACAGTGACTCCACCAGCTACGGATCTAGCACCAAAATAGTAAGGAGATTACTTGCAGCGGTTACTAAGCAGTTACTAATACTAAGCAGATATTAAGCAGCAATTAAGCAAATATTAGTGGAGCAGTTATTAGTGGAGCAGATATTAAGCAGTTATTCAGTGCGGCAGAACTAAAATAATAGAATAATTAATTTAGCGGAGCAGTTGTGGATCGGTGTGCTGTTTTTAGTTTAATCATTCTAATTCTTCAGGTGAAGAAGGTGAAAAAGTCGAAAGTGGGGCCGTCCTAAGTGCTTTAAGTGAAGATATTCAATTCAGATCTTCAGAATAAAACGACAAAGCGAAGCCGCAGCACAGATGAAAACGCGTCGTCAACAATCCATCTTCATTGAATAAACAAATAATCAATTATAAGGGTAATTGCGGATTTGTTTTTATAAATAGAATAAAATACACTCATTATCAACTTGAAAAATGGAACATAATTTGCAAACTGATTTATCTCCTGAATAATTTGAAATTATTCGCATTATTTCAAATAATTTGCAAGTAATTTGACCAAACACACCAAAATTTGTTAATAATAATGATCATTTTGTTACAATAATATTAAAAATATATTTTGACTGACATCAAAAAGGTGAAGGGAAACATTTTCAGTTTGAAACTAAGTGATAATAGTTTTTATCCTAGATATTTACAATTTTATAAAAGCTTTTGTTTATGATGATTACTCAAAACTGTATCGATTTTTTACATTGATCTTGTTTTATCATACAACGCAGCTTTTCTCGAATCTACGGCAGCAATTTATCACAATGTTTATTTCTTTGGACGTTTGTAATTTTCAAAAAAGTGGCAAAAAAAGTCATCCACATGACACATCTCGGAATTAGTGACTTCTGCACACAGCCCCCCCCCCCCCCCCCCCCCCCCCCCCCCCCCCGGCCCCCCTGTGTGCAGTAATTCAATGTTCCTTGGAAGCTTAAAGGACTTCGACGCTCGAACTATCATTCTTGCTTCGCATCGAATTAGGAGATCGTTGCTCGATCTGGAAGGGTTGACATCGTCAATCAAAATGTTCCATTTTCATGGTACTTACAACGTTGAATCATTGTAACCATGGTAACTGTACCTGATTACCATCCTAATACACAATAATTATAACTTACGTCTATTAGTATTATAATAAGCATCTGCATATTCAGAAATCATAATATAAAAAGAGATGTTGGAAGATTTTTGAAGAGGAGCTTTTCTGCCGTCCCCTTGACCGAAAATTCGCGGTTTCGACCGAAATTTTGACCAGTGACCATTCAGTGAAGTCGGTAGGGTAAAAATCAGGGGTGTAGGAAGAGGTCCCCCCCCCCCCCCCCCCCCCCCCCCCCATAAATCTGGAAAAGGGGCCTTATTTGGCATATCCTGTCTAACTGCAGTCTAACTGCACGATAGTTGCCGATTTATAAAATTCAGATAACATTGCTAGTTACTCTTCTGTGCCGTGTTCAGTATTTTCAAGTAAATTAGCAGGACACCATCCAGCAGGCATGAACCAGAAATCTGTTAATTTATATTACATATTCTGATATTAAACGGGTATAAAATGACATCGTGATCCGGCGTGATCAATTATTTTAACTGAAATACAACGGCTGCATCCCTGACTTAATAACTAAAGATAAGAGGCGTATATATATTAGGACATTTGTAATTTGATCAAATTTAAAATTTTGGTGTGAGCTGTGAGCTGGCATGAACCAGAAATCTGATAGTTTATATTACATGTTCCAATATTACATGTCAGCAGCAGAATTGTCAGTTGCCCGGAGACGTAGTATCCAGCCCGTTTAATTAATTTAAACAAATTTATCTTTACAATATCTATTTGGGAGTAGAATGCTTGTACACATTGTGCCGTGTTTGTTCATTTGAAATTTATACAAAATGGTAATAATTTTGCATTAAAAGATAATCATGCCAATGCAATGAAAAATGAATTTTTTCTTTGTTTTTTCTTATGATAAATACAAGTACTTACTCAATACTACTACTATAATACTATAATACTCATAGCACATTGGTTACAAAGTAAACAAAGACTCAATGTGATGTTTACAATTCATATCTTTTAGTAAAATAAACAATCTCCCACTCATCTCACCCTTACTACGGGTTTACTTACTTTCCACTCAGTCGTAAGAGGCTGCTTGTTTTGTGCGTAGTGAGGTAATTGTTGCGATTTACCTTACTTTCTACCTTGATAGTATAATTATACGTAAACCTTTTAAAGTTTTAAGGCCCCACAAACAAACAAACAAACGTCACAAAGTGTTAACAACTTCTGTGACGCATATTTTACTGATTTAGAAATTATTATTTATATTATACGTCACTCAGTCCATTACAGTTATAAATACCTCAAAATCGATTAGGGAATGCCATAAGCCTCATAAGCTCCATATGAAAAACGAACGAAATTGTTATTAAATCATCGTATCTCTTATATGTTTCTAACCCAACTCCACTCAGAAATTGTTATTATTAAAGTTTTATTTTAAGCTGATTTTGAAACAATTTCTCTTCGCAAGTCAAATGCAAAGTGGGTGATGCTGAAACAGTTGACTCTGCTAGCCCTGCTTCTCGGAGCGCAGTGCTTAACCCGAGAGGAGCTTGAAGCGTTTACACCTAGACACCCTGACTACACAGATTTTAATACTAATCTCAAGTCTGAGGTATGTTTACCTCAGGTAACCAGGTAACCAGGTAACCAGGTAACCAGGTAACCAGGTAACCAGGTAACCAGGTTTACACCTAGACACCCTGACTACACAGATTTTAATACTAATCTCAAGTCTGAGGTTTGTGCATATTTCCGATATTCTCGAAAATTCAGAGCAATTGTATTTAAGTGTATTTCAGTGCACTCAATGTTTCCTCTATTCTCGAAAATTCAGAGCAATTGTATTTAAGTGTATTTCAGTGCACTCAATATTTCCGATATTCTCGATAATTCAGAGCAATGTTTATTGTTTGAGTGTATTTCAGTCATGACAACATTTCCTAACGATTGTGGTGATTTTATATAGCTAAGGATCTAATTTTTATATCCTGAATTCAACGATATGATTTTGTTCTTAACATAATAAAATAAATATAGGAAACGGCTTGTACTTCATGCTCTGAAAAGCAAGATCAACTCAGCATGAACACACCGTTACCATGTCAACACACCGTTACCATGTCAACTAATCCATCTCCCGCAGGTTTACGGTCGAGATAATGCAGATGGATCACAAACAATCTACACTAACGGGATTCCGTCTCATCCTACGTGGGAGTTCCCCCAGGCCTCTGGAAATCCCAACGAATTGAAAGTATATTGTTGCTTTAATCCGAGCAGCTATTTCACTATCCGAAGGGTCATGTAAACGACGGTCATCATTTTTGTGCTTGTTATTCTGGCAGCTATTTCATTGAAAATGTCTTGAACTGTATAAATTGTATACAGAATATCACGATTTGCAATATTTGCTTGTAAATATTGGTAAGTTGGAATCTTAGCTTATACAAACCTTTAGTTTTATTCGTCTAATGTAGTTGTGAATGTATTGCTATTGTTAAATAGTAACTAGAGTATATTGCAGGAGATCAGAACAACGTTAAACATATACTCTGAACCTCGTATGAGAGCTGAGCCTTTGAGATGTATACCAATGGGTTTCATAGGAATCGCAACTTCTGGTAGGTACTGGGTAATCTATGGTGTAATTTGGTTAAGCAACGTTTAGATTTAAATCGCATATACCGAATAGCAAATTTCAGTGCAATTCTGATCAAAGTACTGAATTTATAATACCAAACAAATCTCCCCAGGAGTAGCAATAGATGGATGGTTCCCGGCAGAACGTGGATGTCCGGAAGTAGCCGAGTTTGAGGAACTGGATATTTGCGAGGGACACCCGTCACCAAACGGGCAATATCACTACCACCACTACTCTCCCTGTGTGCAGATGCCAACTTGTGGAGTACCCTCAAGTGAGACAAGTAACCAGGTAACCAGGTAACCAGGTAACCAGGTAACCAGGTAATATCACTACCACCACTACTCTCCCTGTGTGCAGATGCCAACTTGTGGAGTACCCTCAAGTGAGACAAGTAACCAGGTAACCAGGTAACCAGGTAACCAGGTAACCAGGTAACCAGGTAACCAGGTAATATCACTACCACCACTACTCTCCCTGTGTGCAGATGCCAACTTGTGGAGTACCCTCAAGTGAGACAAGTAACCAGGTAACCAGGTAACCAGGTAACCAGGTAACCAGGTAACCAGGTAATATCACTACCACCACTACTCTCCCTGTGTGCAGATGCCAACTTGTGGAGTACCCTCAAGTGAGACAAGTAACCAGGTAACCAGGTAACCAGGTAACCAGGTAACCAGGTAATATCACTACCACCACTACTCTCCCTGTGTGCAGATGCCAACTTGTGGAGTACCCTCAAGTGAGACAAGTAACCAGGTAACCAGGTAACCAGGTAACCAGGTAACCAGGTAATATCACTACCACCACTACTCTCCCTGTGTGCAGATGCCAACTTGTGGAGTACCCTCAAGTGAGACAAGTAACCAGGTAACCAGGTAACCAGGTAATCAGGTAACCAGGTAACCAGGTAACCAGGTAACCAGGTAACCAGGTAACCAGGTAACCAGGTAACCAGGTAACCAGGTAACCAGGTTACCAGGTAACCAGGTAACCAGGTAACCAGGTAACCAGGTAACCAGGTAGCCAGGTAACTAGGTAACCAGGTAACCAGGTAACCAGGTAACCAGGTGACCAGGTAACAAGGTAACCTATAGAGTAATTTCATTAATTCACCAGATATTGTATAAAACCCCTTCATCAGTTCATCGGTTTGTTCAACTTTAGTCGGGATACTTTCAGCGATATGGGGCGTTGCAATAGACGGTATTCCAATATACGGACCATTTGATGAGGACGGAAGACAGCTAACTAAAGAGGACCTGGACGAGTGCGGAGGAAAGTACGACAGTACTGGGAGGTACAAGTATCACATGACTGTGGATCCTCCTTACTCCCTCGCTTGTCTCCGTGGTGAGGTGAGAGACTTTTGTTTAGCTCAATCGAGGATTAACAGTAATTACTGCTGGAATAAACGTGTCAACAAACAGGGTTGTTTGTGAACTAATTTATTTGTGATAGGATTTTAATCTAGTTATCTTCAGATTAGGAGTGATCTAGGAAAATCGGCCGGAACTTTCTTCTGTGCTTGTCCTTTTGATGATACTATGTTTGTGGACAGTAAGTCTTACATTTTCATATACTTCTCATATCGTAAATTAATCAATTAAACGAATAAGTATTATATTCTATGCAACATAACTTATGAATAAGATACCATTATTACTATGATAATATGATAATATGATACCATTATTACTATGATAATATGATAATATGATACCATTATTACTATGATAATATGATAATATGATACCATTATTACTATGATAATAAGATACCATTATTACTATGATAATATGATAATATGATACCATTATTACTATGATAATATGATAATATGATAATATGATAATATTCTGAGTAAGTACACATTTCTACAGGATCTGGAGATAAGAGTCACGGGTACGATAACAGAGGAAGTAGACCGTCTAGTATATGTCAGTTCAATACTGACGGGGACCAGCCTGCCCAGTAAGTAGACCGTCTAGTATATGTCAGTTCAGTACTGACGGGGACCAGCCTGCCCAGTAAGTAGACCGTCTAGTATATGTCAGTTCAGTACTGACGGGGACCAGCCTGCCCAGTAAGTAGACCGTCTAGTATATGTCAGTTCAGTACTGACGGGGACCAGCCTGCCCAGTAAGTAGACCGTCTAGTATATGTCAGTTCAGTACTGACGGGGACCAGCCTGCCCAGTAAGTAGACCGTCTAGTATATGTCAGTTCAGTACTGACGGGGACCAGCCTGCCCAGTAAGTAGACCGTCTAGTATATGTCAGTTCAGTACTGACGGGGACCAGCCTGCCCAGTAAGTAGACCGTCTAGTACATGTCAGTTCAGTACTGACGGGGACCAGCCTGCCCAGTAAGTAGACCGTCTAGTATATGTCAGTTCAGTACTGACGGGGACCAGCCTGCCCAGTAAGTAGACCGTCTAGTATATGTCAGTTCAGTACTGACGGGGACCAGCCTGCCCAGTAAGTAGACCGTCTAGTATATGTCAGTTCAGTACTGACGGGGACCAGCCTGCCCAGTAAGTAGACCGTCTAGTATATGTCAGTTCAGTACTGACGGGGACCAGCCTGCCCAGTAAGTTTAAAGTACGGATAAGTTTCCAATTCAGACAAAATTATAACATTCTTTTCGAACGTCTGTCTTCCAAGAAAATTATTTGCTGAGAATCCTCATTTGGCAGATGCAATGAATCGTATGATAAGAACTACGACATTGGATACGAATGGGTTAAACAAGACAGGACCATCAAACTAGCTCCGTGTTGTCCAGCTGGGAACGCTTGCGGAGACAGCTGTAAAACTGTAAATAAACAGGCAACTTGGTCGTTTAGCTCCGGACAGTCTATGCAACGTCTATGCAACGTCCATGCAACAACAAAAGAACCGTCTATGCAACGTCTATGCAACGTCCCTGCACAATGAACACTCTATGCACACTCCCTGCACGGTCAGTCTATGCAACGTCTATGCAACGTCTATGCAACGTCTATGCAACGTCCCTGCACAGTACCATATGAACACCGGCTACTAGCCGGCTACTAGCCGGCTACTAGCCGGCTAGTAGCCACTTTTGTAATAACAGCTCCTCAACTTCACATTACCAACCGGCTACTAACCGGCACTTGAAAAGTGGTCACTAGCCGGCTACTAACCGGCTACTAGCCGGCTAGTGACCACAAAGTGGCTACTAACCGGCTACTAAGCGGTCACTAGCCGGCTATTAGCCGAGCTCTAAAGCAGACCTACTAGTAGCCGGTTCCAAACCGGCTACTAGCCGGCACTTAGAAAGCGGTCACTAGCCTTAGCGGTCACTTGCATAAGAATCCCTGCAGGGACGTGATCAGTGAAAACGATGTGATCCCCAATTGAGTTCTAACGGATCACCGCAATCGTTAGGATTTGACGTGATACCATGCATGATAGATCAGATCAAATAACCATGGGTATAACGAGCCCTGACGGACCTGCAGGCCTTTCCAAAAACTATATAAGTAGCATTAGCCACCAACTTATTTATCCCTCGTTCTTTACATCGTTCTTTACTATACATCATTCTTTACTCTTAATCAACATGCGGACCAGAAGAAACAGATATACCGCTCCTACACCTGCTCCTAAATGCGATCACTGTGGGTCTACCGGTCACATCTCCTCAATCTGCTCCAGAAGGACTTACAGTCCCGACCTTCCCTCCCTCAGATGTACTGCCTGCATTCGGACTGTTAGAAGCGCTTACAGAGAGGACCCAGATTATCTACAGATTATAGTACACATCGATCCGTGCTCCCTGCACTCTACACCCACAAAGACCCAAAAAAAAGGCTAGCGACCGCTTTTCGAGTGCCGGCTAGTAGGTCCGCTTAAGAGCCGGCTAGTGACCGGTTAGTAGCCGGTTAGTAGCCACTTGGTGGTTACTAGCCGGTTAGTAGCCGGTTAGTAGCCGGCTAGTGACCGCTTTCTAAGTGCCGGCTAGTAGCCGGTTTGGAACCGGCTACTAGTAGGTCCGCTTAAGAGCCGGCTAGTGACCGGTTAGTAGCCACTTGGTGGTTACTAGCCGGTTAGTAGCCGGCTAGTGACCGCTTTCTAAGTGCCGGCTAGTAGCTGGTTTGGAACCGGTTTGGAACCGGCTACTAGTAGGTCTGCTTTAGAGCTCGGCTAATAGCCGGCTAGTGACCGGTTAGTAGCCGGTTAGTAGCCACTTGGTGGTTACTAGCCGGTTAGTAGCCGGTTAGTAGCCGGCTAGTGACCGCTTTTCAAGTGCCGGCTAGTAGCCGGTTTAGAACCGGCTACTAATAGGTCTGCTTTAGAGCCGGCTAGTGACCGGCTAGTGACCGCTTAGTAGCCGGTTAGTAGCCACTTTGTGGTCACTAGCCGGCTAGTAGCCGGTTAGTAGCCGGCTAGTGACCACTTTTCAAGTGCCGGTTAGTAGCCGGTTGTTAATGTGAAGTTGAGGAGCTGTTATTACAAAAGTGGCTACTAGCCGGTGTTCATATGGTACTGTGCAGGGACGTTGCATAGACGTTGCATAGACGTTGCATAGACTGACCGTGCAGGGAGTGTGCATAGAGTGTTCATTGTGCAGGGACGTTGCATAGACGTTGCATAGACGGTTCTTTTGTTGTTGCACGGACGTTGCATAGACGTTGCATAGACTGTCCGGAGCTAAACGACCAACTTCCCAATAAACACTTGAAATAACATGCCCACTAAGTTTCATTTCGTGCTTCGTAAACTTTACAATATTCATAGTTGAACCTGAAATTTTTGCTCAAGCTTGTCACGTTCTTATCAACGAATGAACGAAGACTGAATCTCACTTGTTATGTTTCAGAGTGAAGGGCTCCAGGAGAACTGCACCCAAGAAGTAAGAGAAGTGAAATACCTAACAAGGATTGCTAAAGAGGGATCTAACCAAGACAACAGTAACCAAGACAACAGTAACCAAGACGACGACAGAAGACCTGACGACGATAAAAGACCGGATAACGGTGGTAAGCCTGATCGTAGCTGTATGGAACCATGTATACAAGAATGTGAGGGTTCCAACAGCGGCGGGCAAGGTGGGCGCGGAGGAAGAGGAAATGAGTGTCGGGACAAATGTCATAAGAAGTGTACATCCCAGGGAAGTGATGATGAAAGAAGACCCGATGGTGATAGAGGAAGGCCTGATGGTGGCAAAGGAAGGCCTGGTGAAGATAGAGGAAGGCCTGGGGATGATAGAGGAAGGCCTGGTCAAGATAGAGGAAGGCCTGGTGAAGATAGAGGAAGGCCTGGTGAAGATAGAGGAAGGCCTGGTGAAGATAGAGGAAGGCCTGGTGAAGATAGAGGAAGGCCTGGTGAAGATAGAGGAAGACCAGAAGGTGGCAGAGGACCAGAAGGTGGCAGAGGACCAGAAGGAAGACCTGACAGGAGTTGTATGGAGCCCTGTATGAGCGACTGTGACAGTGGCTCACGTGACTGCAGGGACAAATGTCACTCGCAGTGTACTTCTGGACGATCTAGATACTTTGCTGATGATGTGGAACTCGAGGAGGGTGGAAAACAGAAAAAGGGAAAAGCGAAGGGAAAGGGAAAAAAGAAGAAGGGCAAAGGAAAAAAGAAAAATGTCAAGAGAGGAAGTTAAAATGATAGAATAACGGGAATTTTATGGACAGCAAAAGTCTTTAATTAGTTTAAATCTGGAGTCTACTTAAGAATTCTATGAACGTTTCAAATCATAATATTTCAGAATGAGTATTGTATCAATATAATATAATCAATAGACACTTGGAGGATTAACGCATTGGGTTAAGTTGTAGTTGTTCATGTTAGACAGTTACGAATTATAAATTACCTTGTTTTATTTCATATCCGTTGTAATAAACTTATAAAATAGACTTACTTGACTTGACTTGACTTAAGGCGGCTTCAGCGTCCGAGTATTAATGCGCTGTCTCCATATAACTCTATTCGCCATAAGTCCGCCCATTTCTCCAGTGTCGTTGAGACCCGTGTCAGCGTGTAGGCTATCAACATAAGTCATGGCTGGTCTCCCCCTATTCCGCACCCCATGAGTTGGTTCCCAGAGTAGCAAGCGGTTTGCGACTAGTTCTGGGTGCCGGTGGATATGGCCTGCTAGTTGCATCCTGCGCTCTTGGATCTTCATGGTTGCTCTCGGTAGGTTGCCATAGACTTCTTTGTTGGTTTTGCGCTGCTTCCAATCCACATTTAGTGCCATCCTTAGCATTCTAGTGTAGCAGCCATCAATGCGTTTCTTCAATTGCTCTGTCAACGTCCACGTTTCAGAACCATAAAGAAGTATTAGGGTAAAATGCTTCCCTGGAGAGTTATGGGCAAACAACTGTTTTTGTCACGTGATAGGCTAGTTAAACACGAATTCGATTGTTTAGGGCTCGGTAATGGTTAGGGTTAGGGTTGGGATTATGGTTTATAAACCATAAATGTAAAACCGTTCGGCTGCAAAACCCGCAAAATCCCAAGACACGTGATAACTTTTGGGGGAGCGAATTAGTAAAAGCTTTAAAACACACAAGGGACAATCAGTCAGAAATACACAGCCTAGATCTAAGGTATAAATATATAATATAAATATATATATATGTAGATTTTATTTAGTTATACCATATATATGTAGATTTTATTTAGTTATACCATTATTCCAGAGACGTGCATATAACATTTTTTACTTAAGTATAAATTTTACAGGTTTTTGTTGTGATTTTAAGTGATTTTCCGAGAATCAGTTATCAGTATTTAGATAAGAGATAAGATAAGAGTACATTTTTAACGGCTTTCAGTTTCTTTTTTAAATTTCAGTTCATCAGATTTTCCCACTGCTTTTAGTTTGTATTTATTCTCAATTGTATATGATTCGTATTTGTTGTAGTTACTTTAATGATATAATTTCTCAGAATTGATGTAAATAAACGATGCAAAGACTTTCGAAGATCTAATCACAACCGCTTTCTTTTATTGTGTAGAAGTCCAGCCATGAAATATATATATATATATATATATATATATATACAGTATACTGGAAGATATAAAACAATAGTATTTTATTAGCAACGACGTGTAACACTATCATTATATATATATATATATATATATATATAGAGAGAGAGAGAGAGAGAGAGAGAGAGGGAGAGGGAGAGAGAGAGAGAGAGAGAGAGAGAGAGAGAGAGAGAGAGAGAGAGAGAGAGAGAGAGAGAGAGAGAGAGAGAGAGAGAGAGAGAGAGAGAGAGAGAGAGAGAGAGAGAGAGAGAGAGAGAGGAGAGAGAGAGAGAGAGAGAGAGAGAGAGAGAGAGAGAGAGAGAGAGAGAGAGAGAGAGAGAGAGAGAGAGAGAGAGAGAGAGAGAGAGAGAGAGAGAGAGAGAGAGAGAGAGAGAGAGGAGAGAGAGAGAGAGAGAGAGAGAGAGAGAGAGAGAGAGAGAGAGAGAGAGAGAGAGAGAGAGAGAGAGAGAGAGAGAGAGAGAGAGAGAGAGAGAGAGAGAGAGAGAGAGAGAGAGAGAGAGAGAGAGAGAGAGAGAGAGAGAGAGAGAGAGAGAGAGAGAGAGAGAGCAGAGAGAGCAGAGAGAGAGAGAGAGAGAGAGAGAGAGAGAGAGAGAGAGAGAGAGAGAGAGAGAGAGAGAGAGAGAGAGAGAGAGAGAGAGAGAGAGAGAGAGAGAGAGAGCAGAGAGAGCAGAGAGAGAGAGAGAGAGAGAGAGAGAGAGAGAGAGAGAGAGAGAGAGAGAGAGAGAGAGAGAGAGAGAGAGAGAGAGAGAGAGAGAGAGAGAGAGAGAGAGAGAGAGAGAGAGAGAGAGAGAGAGAGAGAGAGAGAGAGAGAGAGAGAGAGAGAGAGAGAGAGAGAGAGAGAGAGAGAGAGAGAGAGAGAGAGAGAGAGCAACACATCTCTTATTAGGAATAATGACTCCCACGTGACAGATATATTTGCCCACGTGCCACATTGAATTTATATATTCTCGTCCCTATAATGCACATGACTTGTAGTCGTGTTTATGTGACCAACTACTCTCTTTGTCACTCCGTTATTTTCTGTTTTTCTTTTCCGTAGTCCGATCTAAGAAAACTATAGTTACATCAAGACAATTATTATAGCTGTACCATGTTTACATTATATATATTTATATTACATTATAACGATTTAATGAGTCGAGCACACGTTCCGAGTTCAAGGGAGATCTTGTAATCTTATCAGCAATGAAACAGCGAGCTTTCGAAGGATTTCTACGTTTTTAGTTATTTTAGGTTATAGGTATCCTCAATGGGTGTCCTTAGTGACTGGTTAAAACTCTTCCATAAATATAATCCATTTCGTTGAAGGTTAATTTTAATTCAAATTGTTATTTTTTTTGTCCACGTGTCAGTCACTTTCTTCATATGCTCAATTTGTATCTCAAAACCATTACATTGAGGGGGTCTGTAGTCCCCCCGCATAGTATGTTTGTGTTTCACTGATTTGTAAACTGAAGACGTAAATAGTATAACCGTATCAACATACCGCGAAACTGGTGAGTGCTTTATCACGATCTATCAAAATTAAGGTTGGCCAGTTGCCAACAATGTTAGAATGTTGGTTGCGTTTCCGGGACTAATGATATATAATTGTATTTCGTAAATCGTTACTTGACTGCAGAGTGCAGATCGATCATTATTATTTTTAGACTTCACAGAATTTATAGTCACTGACAGTTAGGTATAAATACTGGAAGATGTAAAACAATAGTATGTTATCATGTGTCATTAGCAACGACGTGTGACTAGTACTGAACACATCTTAACCTCGTTATAGAAAATGAGATTAGAGTTAGACATTATCACATTTTTGTTCCTTCTACAGATTATTATTAAGTTATTAGTATTAGTGTTTACTCAACTTTGTTAGATCATCATTTTCAGAAAACTTTATTGCTTTAGTCATACTGTGTATACTTTGAATTCTCCGACGGTTTTTTTGTTTTTATTTTAGCGTTTGTCATTATGAATTCGGAAGTTTCAGCTTCTAAATCTTAAAGTTTTTATAATGTAGTAGTAGTACGTGCTAAACCACAATCGATCTTCGAATTTTCTAAAAGGGCCCCCGACAGTTGAAACCAAGTATTTTCGAATCACCCCCCTGACAGTGACATATAGGGTTAGATTTAAAATTGTCCCCTGACGAGATATTGGCGAAAAACTGTCTCGATCACGTGATATGACCGTATAAGGAAGTAAGTCTAATTTCTCGTTAGGGTTAGGGTTTTAGTGTATGCTTTTGTTAAAGATAGGGTTAGGGTTACGGTTGGGATCAGATTAGATGGCTAGGATTTCGAAAAGTCGCTCAGGACCAGCTACAGAACGGGTTAAAAAAGTCACGTGACAGTCGAGTGTAGAGTGATTAATCATCATCCAAGTCCGTACCTAAATTCGGAAGGCTGTGGATGTGATTGGTTTCATTATCATATACTTAATTTTATAGTTATAGTTATAGAAAACGTTATATTTTGAATTTGGCCCCCTTATGAAGAAAATCATTTCTACAGTCTACACCCCTGGCAGCGCGTTATATCAGCGAGATGCACCACTGACTGGGTCACGTTGAGCTGCGAAGGATCGACATCCTCAATTAATGGCATACAGTTTACCGCAAACCTTTTTGAGCATTTTGCTCATGCATATTATTAGTATTAGGGCCTGCCAGCATTTTTTATGAAATAAGTGTTGTTCGTAAAACTAAAAGGAACAAGAAAATGAATGCAAATTGCAGTCTTTCAATTCGGAACATTTTTTCATTTCTTATTGCCAGATTCTCTGATAGCAAAATTCGGATTTGCTATCAGGATGAGAATCTGGCAATGAGAAATGAAAAATCCAGCAAGATTTTGTTGTGCACAGTCCCAGAAATTTTTAAATTATGCGTACACTTATAGTTTAAGTTACAATAGTTGAACATGCCCAAGGTAAATCATTCTGTTGTCACTAAGCTTTTTCATGCTATGTTTAATACGAACTGATATTAATTGTGTCATCATTTCAATTTAGCAGGATATTGGTAATGACAATCATCACACTCTTAGTGAAAAGTTATACCTGGGAAGGTGCAGCAACCGATCTGACATCTACATTGTGGGATAGAGGGGTAAAGAAAGGGTCTATACTATGGATAGATGCTCACTGCGAGGGAGAAATCAATTCTTTGTGTCACCTCACAGCATATTGGGATGACAGGTTCGAGACGACCGAGGAGAAAACCCATATAAAGTACAAACTGATAAACAATTCATTCTCATGGGAAAACTTCTACAACCAAGCAGATCAGTTTGTCTCTATGTTGGAGCCAAGAGATGTCATTTCCATCACAGCCTCCTGCAGCTTAAGCTTACCTATAACTCCAATAGCGCCGTTTATCAATACCAGTAGTATGGCCGTTTTATTTGTCTTCTACTTCGACAAATACTACTACCACAACAATTTTGAGTTGACAATATGGGGCGATCCCAACTCCGCGATCCCAACCCCTGCAGTGATAAATGAAATACCAATTGAATTACCGGGTGGCGGTCATGGAATAATGCCTCCACTGATGGGTCCAGTTATCACCGGCAAATTGACAATGGATATGCTCGGCGTGCCGAAACTCAATATATCTAGGCCTATTATAAGGGAAAAGCAAATCATAAAGCACTGCGAGGTAAGAGATAATGACTGGAACGGTGCCGCAGAAAGAATTATCAGTGAGCTAGAAAACAAAGGGGCTAAGGCAGGACAAATAATTGCGATAGACGCGCATAATAATGCCGCTACTGGACAAGCGATCTTCTCTGCGTGGTGGAACGAGTCACTCCCTAATTTCGGAGACTTAAACGGATATATGATGAAGGAGGGAATAAATAATTTGAACTCTTGGGAAGCACAGGCAATCGAAGCAAGAGATTTTATTACAAACCTACAGAGTGTTGGAAATGGAAAAACTATAAAAGTCTTCTCATTCACCTCTTGTATTAACAATTTCGTATTGTCTTATGGAGTGACATATACTTTCTACGCAAAAGATGAGGTAGTAAAAGATGGGTTTATCCTGGATGAAGAGAACATCAAAAAAAAGGAACCAGTGAGATGCATGCAAATACCAGCATCAACTCACGATAACCCAACTGATGTGATTACTGACTATACGTTAACATTGAGTGAATCATCTGAAAAGACATCTACTTTCACGAGTACCTACGAGCGTACATCTGGCTGGAAGTTGACTGCAGGGGCTAATATCACGCTTCCTGACATTCCAGTGACCATATCTACAACCGCTGAGAAAAACCAATCAGAAACATGGAAAGAAATGAAAGAATTTTTTACCAAAGAGAGCAATGCTCTTCAAACTACAACGAAATTTAACATTCCGGCACAATCGATCTTAGTTGTAAAAGTTATTGAGGAAATAAGCGAATTTTCTGCCCCCTACAAAATGACGATGGTATCAGGGAGGGTTTCCAGCGGAATCTGGATAACTAAGAAAAGAGCTGTAACCACAAGTAGTAAACCCTTCCCGTTGGATACACCAGGTCAGTAAGATCTATAAATATTATTTTTCAAACGTTACATTTTTTCCCGATCCATGACTCGTGCCGAAGGCACAAAAGAGTCAAGGACAAGGGTTAGCGATCGAGGTTTTTTTTTGTATATGGTAGCTTTGCGACCGTGCCTGCGAGCGTGCGTGCGTGCGTGCGTGCGTGCGTACGTGCCTGCGAGCACTGTTATCGCCCATGTGACTACCTGCGCAAAGTTATTTTGCGTGATAATCTGAATTATATAATTGTTGGCGCGCGGCGCTAAACCAACCAAGTAAATTATTAATTTCATCATGTACGTATCCCACTAGGCACTAATTGATAGCATATTATTATTATTTTGAGTTAGTATTACTATTTTGCACAGATCCGTGCCAGGTTGCATAAACAATAAACATATGGTTACATAGCTTAGAAGTATACACGATTTTCAAATTCAATAAAAAATTATATTAACTGGGCGGCGCTCGGCAGTCGGCATGTCACTTCGCCATATTTGCATGTTTATATAAACAGTAAAGACTGGGCCGTCCCCAGGTTGTATGGAATATGATAAATACGCCATCACGGATCGGGAAATTGAGCGGCCATCCACAAAAGAAAAGCGGCCGCATTTCTTGTTTATGGAGTGATAAATCATAAAAGGATTATAAAAATTAAAAACGTTACAAAAATACAAACGTAGGATTAGATTGATGAAACTTTAGATCTTATTTTTAGGTGTTAAAATATATTGAAAATGATTAAATACTAGTCTGTAACATGATTATGATATGCAATAAACTTTTATATTATTAATATTATTATTATTAACAAACACTTCTTCAGGTGACGTGATCAAAAGAGAACTTGATAACACGGACCTCTATACTTAGCCGGACTTCGCATGCTACGTGACGCATATAATGGCGGTTGGGCGCTACTGCAAGCGCGAGAGGGGTCTGGTTAGATCTGTACGTGAGAGCCTTGATTTATTCTGTGGATCTCTTTCAGTGACTCCAGATATTACCTCTGAACACGTAACGGACTTTGAAACAAAATCTCCTCAAATCTAACAAAAACTTAATAGTTTGACTTTGAACGCGAAAAATTAGCATGAATAATACATCTTTATCTAGATTTTAATTTTTACTGTAACAATTGCAAATTAGTTTCCTAAATCTAGGAAAGCATTTTTATAAGTTAGAAATGTGAAATAATTTCATGGCAAAAATGCAAAGAGATTGCAAATATTAGATGACTAGTGTAACCCGTGCCTACAGTACAGCAATTATAACGTATATAATAAACTCGAATAAATTATTCGTCTGTAAAATCTGACGGGAGACCAAACACGGTACTGCACACTATAAGTATACAAGTATGACTAATAGTAATATAACTTATATTATTATTGATAACTCTAACTGATCATATGTGAATGATTTAACTTCTGCGACACCGGTAATACTAATCGTTGTTTTTATTTCTCTTATTCTTAATACGAAAGTGTAAAATATTTTGAAAATTGAAAATCAAAAACAATTTCAACGAAATGGAATTTTTTTTTATAATTTTGATATAATATAACCCATAACCAGTCAATTAAAATTAGCTTTCCCATATATGTGACATATCCCGCAAGGCGAAATTTATTTGGATATCACAAAATATGACTGATATATTGATATTCAGAATTATACCGGGTATAGTAGCAGCTGTACTTAGTACTTTTACTGGGCGGTGCTCAGCCTGTAATTCTGCTGCATCTCTATTATTAAGATTTATGTATATGAACATTATACTTAAAGCCTGGGGTAACCGCCATGATATTGCTACAGCCACCGGTAGTTAATCTTAAAATGAGAACAATTAGTGGGTTAACAAAGGATAGTACAAGTCACGATTGAGGTTCTGGGAGCAAGACTTCTGGCGAAAACTTAGAGAAATGGACATTTATCAAACCGTTCCAATTTTCCCATTTTCAAATATGAGCTGACTAAAAGTTCACCATTTTGACGGAGTCTATGTCCAGCGACCGATTATCGAGTTCAGTGTAAATAGAACAAAACATGATTGAGGTCAGAAGTAATGGAATAGCCATACTCATAGGATAAGTTTCCTTAATCATAGCAAAATTTGTTATCAGTATGCTTTATTATAGTGATATAAAAGTATAAATGAACGCGGATCAGTGAATACCGTGAACAGTAAACGCTGTAAACTTAAAGTTTTGTGGAAATTATACCTTATGAGTATTGCTGAAAGCACAGTGTAAGGCCTACACGGACCGCCTCTAACTAGTCAATCCCTGTTTACATGCCGTGTAGCAGGGGACTAGAAAGAGCTAAACTAGTAAGCGGGGCATAGCCAATACACTATACTTCCATCATTGAGTATATTACCAACCAGAAGGAAAATTTCCTTGTGTTTGGAATCTACCAAGACGAAAGTTGTACAATCCAGCGAAATTCCTTATATCTTAGACTTAACCGCAAACTATTAAATATGAGCTAAGGCCCTCGAACACTTTCACGGATAATGAATGGCGAATGAAAAATAAGGTAACCGTTGAGGATTGATCAAGCCCAAAGCGCAGGACGTAATCTCGTCACATGCACGCGTTCTCCATGGCAACAGACCAGGGCGCCATGAAAAGCTTCCCTCACACGTTAAACCTCAGTTTTTTATTCGTTTCTAATACATTCACTTATAGTGCGTCCGCCCTATCGTTTCGTTTGGAAAATTCAGGAAAATTCAAAGTTAAAAGATTATCTACAGTTGTCTGACATTCAAGTTACTAATACTATGGTGTATGGGTCAGACTTACAGTACACAACTTTTTAGTGATATTGTAAGTAAGATTTAAAGCCTTTACGGCCTTTTCAATTTCATTGTTTTTGACATCAACCTTCACTATTAGTTTTTTTGGCCGTGGTGCTTAGAGTAATTATTTTGTTTAAAAACCAGTAACCACAAAGACATTTTGTAGGTTTACAACCTACCAGGACGCGCACCGAGTTGGACCCAATATATGGAACAGATATTTTGGGAAAGTCACCCGTTAAAGACATTTATGCTTTTAATCTTTTAATCGATTTGTTAAGGCCGATTTTTCTGATTAATTTTTATGAAGAGCTGTATTAGTAAACTTTTCTACGTCATACATACTACGTTGCGTCCTGCAATTATGTATTCATCCAATTTCTCATCACTTGCCATAACTTTTACTTTTCGGTTGTTCCTGTCGGTTTTAGTCTCAAATATATAATAAAACAAATATTTAATAAAACAAATAATTATTTTTACGGCACAATCAAACAATATCAATAATAAATAAATCAGGGGAGGTTTGAAGAGGTTTTAAGTACCGAAGGCCACTGCTTATCTTTAGGATTTGAGAGTGACCTGTGCTTGAAACCCCCTCAACCATCCACTACGTCAATATACTTATTATACAAATATAGAAAAATATAATAATCTAAAATTACTTATTGGTTTAGTTTGGTGACAAAGGAGAGCCCAGTTGAGTTTTAGTTTAGCTTTAGGTTTTGAATCACAGTTTAAAAGGTTAGCCATGTTTCATGGCAGAGAGAGATATCATGTGTGCATAGCCGTACCGGATGTAGAGTTTGAGATATAATATAGATTAGTTACCATGTACTAGGGTCATCTCGATTTTGGAGGGATAGCAAGTGCTTTTTAAGGTTAGATTTAATAACACCTGACGAAGCTGATAAGTCTGAATTCTTGGAAGAACCCGGGATTATTATCCCATCTACATTAGCATCACATATTTCGAATACATAGGGGCAGGGGGCTGAGGTCATTCCAAATTTTCTTAGAGGTGTACAAAAAGTTCTGTTGGGAGATATCTAACCTCAGTAATGGGACAATCAGACGAAGTTTTTCATTTCTAGGACAGAACTTGAAAAGATCTTTAATCGACTGGGGGACATCAAATTTAAGAATTTTGAATAGTTCCATAAATGTATGGTACATGTGCAGATTCTCCAGGTTCATAATTTTCTGCTCGGTGAATAGCGGTTTAGTGTGTTCTAGACAGTAGTTCTTGCTAGCCATATGTTCGTTATAAGTTCTTGAACGTGCACAGGTTAAATAGTATTCTTTATGATCAAAATTGGGAATGTTACCAAATAGCAGTCTTATACATCGTTTTTGAATTGCAAAGATTTTATTCAGCTTATGTTTAGGGATCCCACCCCAGCAACTTATACAATAGCTAAGATGTGACATAAAAAGAGCATTGTATAGTTTCAAATATTCAGATTTGGGAATGAATTTGCAAATTCTCTTAATCGATACAATACTGGAGTTCAGCTTTAAAGATAAATGATTAAGATGTGGTTCCCAGCTTAGCTGTTCGTCTATTATCACCCCAAGAAACTTTGTACATTGAACTTTTTCAAGCTTTTTGCCATCTATTAAAATCGTTAGATTCCTGTTAAAGGGCCGTGTTCTGGCACAGGTCTGTGTTGCTCTTGACAAACCTGGCTGAAAATGCATATAACAACTTTTGCCTGCATTTATATGTAACTTGTTAGACTCCATATAGTTACTGACTTGTTTCATTACATGATTAAAGCTTTTTCAAAAGCTTCCTGTGCTGAACTACCTATCACAAAAATATTTGTATCATCAGCAAACAGGACGAATTCAGCCAAGCTTGAGGAGCTCACAATATCATTTATATAAATCAGAAATAGTAGAGGTCCTAACACTGACCCCTGGGGTACACCATACTCAACTGAACACTTGTCCGACTTTTCAGTTTGAAAAGAAGTTACTTGGCTACGGTTTGTTAGATCGAATAGCTAGCAAGAGTTTTTAGTGCAATACCTCTTACTCCATAGTGTTCAAGTTTATGCAGGAGTTTATCGTGCTCAATTGTGTCAAATGCTATACTTAGATCAATAAATATTCCAATTACATGATTTTTCTGTTCAATCTCATTAAGTATTTTATTGACAGAATAGTTTACGGCATGAGATGTTGAGTGTTGTTTTCTAAAACCAAATTGTCGATCATAAATCACGTTCATAGCACTGAGGTAATTATATAACCTATTATAAATTATTTTTTCAAGTATTTTTCCAAATATCGGTAATGTAGAAACACTAAACAGGTCGATAGTTATCAAGGCATCGTGAGTCTCCTTTTTTATAAATTGGTGTAATAGAGCCCGTTTTAAGCTTGTTTGGAAAGACCTATAGGATAATGCAAACGTAGAACTCTTAAAGCTTTAAAGCATCCCCAGTGCGAACCCAAATTACCAGCAGTATTAGGGAAGCCGACTTGAGCTTGACGCTAATTTAGCCAATCAGATCACGCTAACAGCCCTCCTAAAGACGTAAAATGAACTGGCTCCAAAACACGTTGACTAAAATTTCGATTTGAAAAGTTTTATAAAGAAATATTATGCAACTACCTATTTCTTATTTATTTGCACGTGGGCGGTCGTACAGTGTACAAAAACAATTCTCTGAATTATATAAAGAAATTTCCTGGGAAAAGGGCAAGCCCCTGTTGCCACTTCCAAGCACAAATCCACTAAAGATTTCAACACAATTTATAAGGCTTGGGAAGTCTGGGATCCAAAAATTCCTGTGCTCCACGGAGTAAGGGATTTTTGACCCGAACAATTTTAGTTCGGATGATTTTATTCACCTCACCAATCACCATCCCCGTAGAACGCTTCCTCGTTACAGTTTTGGTAACCAATAACTTATAACTTTCAAAAGTCATCCCCTACCAACTTTATGGTTTATCGACCTAGTTCATCCTCTGCTAGGTAATAAACCTCAAAAGTCTAAGGCCTCATCATCCTCATTCTTAATCACAAGCATGTTGTAATGCATCGTCACCATCGTTTTACCTTCAATAGGTTGATCAACTTTATTATTGTTTATTTTGTTTGACGATGCTTATATATTATATAACTATTTAAATCCTTGCCATTTGACGTTAGTGTCACCTTTATTCAAGTATTTTATTAGTATCGAAAAAGTCAACTTGAAATTAACG